GCCTACCTTAGCCTAGCCTATCCTAACCTACCTTAGCCTAGCCTATCCTAGCCTAGATTAGCCTAGCCTATCCTAGCCTAGCCTAGCTTAGCCTAGCCTATCCTTTTTTTATGACGGAGGGGAAATCTTTCAAAGATATGTAGGATTTCCACCCACTAAAACCACTCCAGTGGCCGTCCGTTTCACCCCTAGTGGGGCACCTGGATCGCTAAAAAGCACACAACCGGTACCCCCTTGACGAAACAGCCTATCCTAGCCTAGCTTAGCCTAGCCTAGCTTAGCCTGACCTAACCTGGCCAAATTCTAATTTGTCCTAAAAGTTTGGAGACATTCTATCAAATAACTGGAACCTAACCCAACGTAATTTAGCCTAGCCTAGCCTGACCTAATTTGAAACAAATTATAATTCATCCTAAAAGTGTGCAATTTCATAATTCGACCGACTGGGAAACGTTCGAACGCGGAAAGTGGATAAGATAAATTTTAGTGTACGCGGGTACTTGTTGCGCGTAGAGGCCCGTTACCCGGGCTGGTAATGTCGTCACGATATCGATTCAACCGTCCGCGGCACGGTACCAGATCGATTAGACCCAGCATGCGGAATTATTTATGGTCCGTTCGTTTATGTATAATGCCGATCCTGTCGACGATAACTTTTACTTTCGCGAACGGCGAGCGTTTGTCGCTGCACGCTAATTCTCGCGTCATGCAACGACCTTAGAATGCTTCAGGCTCTTTTTATTTAGGGAGAGGCAAAAAAAGAAAAAAAGGACATTTAGATTTTATCCTGGGAGTCGTTGGGAAAAAGCTTAATTATCGTTTCGTAATACAAGTCGATGAGGTTTTTACAAAAAATTCTGATGCTTGTCCACACGTGGGTGACTCATTTCCCGTGGGAATTACTAGAATTATGGTTTTTTTTCAATTATTGGAATTCCAATTAATGACACAATTGAGAGAAACAGGATCAATGGTCAAGGTGAAGGGTTGTATTAACTCTGTTCACAGTCGATTCTTATTCAGTAAAAAAAGATAAATTTTATAAAACTTATCCTTCATTAGAATCAGACCTGCCTTATCATTTTCTGATTTGTTGGAAATATAAAATTGAATAAAATACAACGTAACGCAGGAATGCGATCGAAGTGACCGCGGATTGGCAAACGATCTCGCGGGACACGCAACGCACGCAACGGATTTGCATGGAGGTTGCATCCACTCTTAAGAGCAATCAGAATTACACAATATATCGGTAATACCTGGTATAAACTTGGCTGCATTCCAGCACGGCGATGGCCTTGATCGCGTTCCGTCCCTCGCAGACCACTATTCTATTTGTCTTCAACCGTGGAAGGATCTCGCAGCCAGAGGGACACAAGAATCGAAGTAAAAACCACTATTACTCCTCACGCCTCTAACCAGTCACAATCCCAAGCTTTACTAGCAGTGCCAATGGAATTTCGAGTCGTTTACTCATTCAGAATCCAAAATACTTTCATCATTTCGAAGTCATTTAAATGCAGTTTTTAGAAAATTTGCCCAAAATGTGTCCCATTGAGTCTCAAGGACCCCAAATGTGACACTATGACACTGTGTGCAA